TTTTTTTTTATAAAATCTGTTTTCCCTTTCCGTCAAATATAACGAGTGTTTATATTAAACATATGTACGGCTGACAAGACATAGATAATTGATTCAAGTAACTTGTAAGTTAATGAGATACCACGGTCCAATGAATCAACAACAACAGACATCTAGGTTACCTTATTTACACCATTTAAAAAAAAATACAAATTGCCTGCTTGAATTTCATCACTTTTAAATGATGACTCAAGGATTCCGGTGGCAACTTTAAGAAAATTCCTAAGTCTTGCAAAGCCAAATTTGCCACTGATTTATCCTGCACTACTCTCTGATGTAAAACACTCGTATAATTTTATGAAGTGATACTTTGGACCAATCATTAACCTTTCACGCTTTCACTTCCACAAAATGTACTGTTGGTTTTTGTGTAGTTTTTGACTTTGAACCAACGTGTTTCTCGAGGCTTGTACTTGATAATATGAGTTGAAGATAGTCTGTGTAACTGGTACAATACAGTATTGAATCAACTAGAAGAATGATTTATTACTTTGAGAGAAAGTACAAAAGGTGTTCATGGTTACTAACTACAAATGAATGCTGTTCATTTGTAACCAATAACTGAATCTGTAACTACCATCTGAAAAAGAACAAACTAGATATTACAGTTGGGAAAACATATATCTCTCACGTACAGAAATAGTATACTTGATAATGATATCCAAAACACAATGTCTATTGAGAAAGAAAGACCTTTTGGTCTTGAAATATGTACAAAGCACAGCAGGACTGTTTGATACATGTGTATTCTCTTACTGAAACCTTTTATTGAAATTGTGAATTTATTTGAAGAATTGGGAACTATTTTTGTGCGTAACACCTCTGGCAATAGCTGTTTAGAGGTAGCATGCCTGACTACAGTTGTAAATTGCCCTAATGCCTTGCAGGCAACTTTCACATGTATCAGTGAAGTGATGTGCATGATTCATCAATAGTAGTGAGCTGTCCTGTCACATAGATACTTAAATAGTTTATGCTCATCAGTTACTATATGCACTCTCACATGTACATTTCATGTATTCTCATGACATGTATAGCCCACTGATTTAACTTGTTGAAATAATTTATATTGCAGGCCATGAATTTTTTTGCTGGCTTATTGCTACTTTTGATGCCTGAAGAAAATGCCTTTTGGTATGTCCCTAAATGACTGCTTGAGTAGATTTAGAGAGTATATGGTGAACTTTTCAAAGTAAATTATGAATAGAGCATCATTGTTATAACTGTCGAATGTTTGGTGAGCATTGCCTTCAAGGAATGCCTGACCGATTGCTTTATGGTTGCAAGGCATCTATAGCCGCTATTTGTTTGCAAATTGAATAGATTTATGTTTAACCACTGATTATGGTTTTCCTCAGGACCTTAATGGGCATTTTAGATGATTATTTTGATGGCTATTATTCAGAGGAAATGATAGAATCTCAAGTATTATTTCTTTACTTTATATACTCTTGATTAAATTAAATATTGTATATAGCTGTTATTAAACATTAACATATATTCCTTAAAATATATTATCATTTTATCAGGTGGATCAACTTGTTTTTGAAGAGTTGGTGAGGGAGAGGTTTCCCAAATTGGGTCTGTATACTATCTTATTTCATTGTCTTTGAACTCACCAAGTGAGTTTTGTTTTTAGTGTTCCGTTTCTCAATTGATATTTTCTTGTGTACCTAATTTGCAGCCAATCATCTAGATTATCTGGGAGTGCAGGTGGCATGGGTTACCGGTCCTTGGTTCTTGTCCATTTTTGTGAACATGCTTCCTTGGGAAAGTGGTCAGGTTTAATGTTCTATCTATTGAGTAGTGTAGCTTAGTCTTATTTGACAACGTTGTCATTGTCAAATGAGCATTTCCATGCATTTGTTTGACCTTCCTTCTCATCTATTGTCATTATTTGGACTTCAGTTCTTCGAGTGTGGGATGTGCTTCTTTTTGAAGGAAACCGAGTCATGCTCTTTAGAACTGCAGTTGCTTTAATGGAGATATATGGTACTGGCTAAAAAATGTTTGTTGTTTCAAACTATATAGAGTATTATTGGAAAAAGTAAACTAGCAGTGCTTAAGCCGTACATATATTAGCAGATCTTAAATTTATAGTGTCTCGTAGGTCCTGCATTGGTAACAACAAAGGATGCTGGAGATGCAGTTACTTTACTTCAGTCATTAGCTGGCTCCACATTTGACAGTAGTCAGCTTGTATTGACCGCTTGCATGGGTTACCAAAATATAAACGAAACTCGGTTGCAGCAACTGAGGAATAAACATCGGCCTGCTGTAATAGCTTCTATTGAAGAAAGATCAAAAGGGCTTAAAGCTTGGAGGGATTCCCAGGGACTGGCTTCAAAGCTATTTGGTTTTAAACATGACTCTAAAACAGAACAATCGACCGATATGCAAGTGCTTGACAGCTTATCTCGTACAGAATCTGGGTCCACTAATGCAGATGAAATTCTAATTAGTCTGACTGGAGAGGGTGAGATAGATTCTGTTCCAGATCTTCAAGAGCAGGTCATTTTTGTCTTTCCCTTTTACCCTTCTCACTTTCTATTAGTCTGTGATATGGTTAATGGTGCATTTACTGCTACTATATATATATGGTTCTCAAATTACTAACGCTTAAGTTAAAAAAATCAAAGTTGATAAAGTCCTAATATTACTTTTGGGTACCCACTAATGACTGCATTTATCTTAAATGACACCTTAAAATTCAGTGCGGTTAACAGGTTATTGAGGAGAACTTTGGTTGTCCTAACTGGTGTCTAGTTCAATGTCTATACATCTCTTATCAGAGTTGCACAGGGTTTGGTATAACATTGTTAATGCTACATGTTTCGATATGGTTGTTGGTTTTGTTTTACTTTGCAACACCGCTTATTTATTATCACACATCTCATTTTGAAAAATTTAATTTTAGGAAAACAGTAAAGGGATTACAACCTGCAAAACTAGGACAGTGTGATTGTGAGACTTGCTGTATGAATTTCTCCATTCCCCTCTACTCCCTCTTTTTCTGTAAAATAAAAGTAGGTTGAAACCTTTATTATCAGTGAATGCCCATCTACCCCAATCAAAAAGGTGAGGAGCTAATTAATTATAGCATAGCATTATTCTCACGTTGTGAACTCCATGCAGGTTGTCTGGTTGAAGGTTGAACTTTGTCGACTGCTAGAGGAGAAAAGATCATCCATTCTTAGGTACTTGAAATCTGAGTTTTCTTGCAGTCTTACAGCTGTTTTTCTTTTTTCCCTAACTAGCCTACTCTAAATCTTATACCCAGTCTCATAAAGTATTGACTATGATATATAATTATAAAATTAGTACTTCAGTCTATGTTATTACAACGGTTGATTTGATGTGCTGCGAGCGAAGTTTAAATTTATAATTTCAGTTTCAGACATTTTTTAATTTGTTTAAAATCAATCTCAAAATTTTAGAATTTACATTATCTCATTATAAGGGTTATAGTAAACTATTCTATTTTCATTTCATATTTCATACAATGTATCTGTGCACATGTGAATTAATGCACAGATGAAATAATTCTCTCCATTATAGTTTGTTGTTTGGGAAAATTCATTTTAAGGCTCTATTAGGCATGGACACAGTGATTGATAATGTCAATGGATTTTACGCATATAGCATTTAGTCCTTGAAAGTTCCTCCTTTTTATCAGGGCAGAGGAGCTGGAAACAGCATTAATGGAAATCGTCAAGCAGGACAATAGACGGGAACTGAGTGCGAAGGTAAGTCATGACTGCACATGGGATTTTTTGCTTTCTCATCACGCTGTTATTGCCAAAGTTACTCTACAAGGCAACATTTTATTATGAAGTTCTTGGAAATTGTATTATGCAATCACATCTTAAGGCTAATAGATGAATTTTCTGAGCGAGATCTACATATAGACTTTCTTCACAGCATAATAAAACAGAATACCGGTTCCTTGGTTCATGCAACCATTTAATTAAATAGTACTAAACTAATGAGTAATGAGGTGCTAGTAGTATCTTATTGTTTATTGATATCAAAGCTGCAGAGAGTTTTCCTTTCTATCCTTCCTCTAAAGTTGTTATGAGTTCTACCCATTGCACAAGAGACTTTCCTCTCCCATTAAACAATTAGAAGTTGCTCAGGAAGAGATTTGCACATCCTGAAATTTGCTCTTACAGCCTGGACTTTTCCAGGCCAAAGGCAAACTGATTTTTCTTAGGTATTGTGGATTTCACTGTTGTCAGTTTGCAGAGGAATATTAACTGTAGTAGGTAACACATCAGAAGAAGAAGGATCCTTAAAGTAAAAGGAAGACTCATTCAAAGTGACATATGAAGAAATAAAATAGCAATAAAGAGAAGGAAAGAAACACTTATATCCTTTTTGTGATTGAGTAAATCCTAAAAAAAACACATTTATGTGATTTAGGAGATAACTTATCAAAGACTAAGACTAAAATTATGAATAAAACATGTAAACTCAAACTTTAA